TATTCTGGTATGAATACAGATTTTTAGTTGTAAAAGAATTGAACTTAGAAACTTATCACATGCTGGATTATATTTGGTATAACAAAATTTGAGTTTAAGGCATATACCTTGTTTTTATTATGCATGGTATGAGAGAGGGATTGTATCTGTCTCTCATTTGTAATATGGTTTCCTTTCTTTTGTAAAAATGAAACAGAAAATTGAATATAAAATAGCAGAGAAGAAAGGTAAACTGAGCTCCCACATAAGGAAATGGTCACTTTCTTTCCTGTAGAATTTTGGTCCCCTGGTATTTAATAAATTTTATACTTCCTTATTGTCAATTATGTTATTATATTGTTAATATTACTGTATTTCAGTGGAGCCTCTCATTGACGAGTCCAGTCTCGGTTTTCTTACATGATATACAACCTTGAAGCATGTCAGGGTGAGCTTTACATATGTACAAATGTAACTGACTAGAGTGAGGCATTTGTGCTGTGCTGTTTTGTGTTGTATTGTCCTGTGTTGTACCGTGTTCTGTATACATCCATTTACTTTATTTATATGTTATTACTGTATTCGATGTCGTTGAGTTTTATTTTCAATACAAAAAAAAATAAAAAAAAAAGTCTTGTATGGTCAAGAGTGTCAAATGCCTTGCTCAGATTCATGAATACTCCAATAACATGCTTATGATCAGCTAAGGCATTTGACACTCTATCAAATAATTTTAACAATGCCAACTCCGCTGAATGAAATTTTCTAAAACCATATTGACTTTCAAACCTTTGTTCCCAGAGATTGGTCACAGGACCTACAGCTAGGCTGGTCTCCTACTACAAATTATGGAAATGCAAGCATTACTTTAAACAGAACTTTGTTATTCCTGGCTCATTTTTCCTGATTGAGGTGTCATATGACAGGGCAGATAATGAAATTTCTAGAAATGTAATTTTCTCTTTGAAATTCAGATACCGCCACAAATGACTTTCTGGTACCCTTTCCTCACATTTTTTAAAATCACTCATTAAATTATAATTGTGATTAAGTTATGATAAAACATTGATGAATTTCGCTTTCGTTTTTTCTGGGACGCACTGTATATACACATGCTAATCCAGTAAGTCTAATACAACGTTCTATAGGTATTGAAAAAGGCCTGTTCTGAATTCATATGCGATCATGAACGCTGCCGAGGGCGCTATATGAATCCAATAGGAAAGGCGCTAACCATGCATTATAATATTTATTGCGTTTTAACTGCGTGTGTCAACGAGTGAAGTTTAGATTTAGATACTACTATTCAATATTGAAAAGAAGTATCAAACGGGGGTCACTAATGCTTGAAATTATAACCTTTGCAAGTTCGTTTAAGTGATCCACGTGACTGGAAGGTATTATCATTGCTGTATGCATGGAAATGGATTATTATGCTATAATATATTGATTAGTTGAGTCAGATAAAACGGGGTTTTTATTTCACTTAAACTTAACCCAATGTAGACCTATAACACATCTTTAAATATTAGTGTTATTCAGGTAATACTTTCTGGGAGGGTCAAAGTGTTGAAGGTGTTTGAAATGTACTTGTACTATTGAATTATGTTATATATGATATTACTAGGGAGAGGGAAGAGGGGGCGGGCGATTTCTCTTTCATGCTTCCATTTTTGTTAAACAAACCGCTGCATGGCACATGGGTTGTTCATTTGACAGGCCTGTAAACAGGAATATTATGGAGGGGTAAGGGGGGGGGGTGTTGGTTGGTGAGCATTCAATTATTAGCACATGGAGGCAAACCTTGCATGGCATATTTTGAAGGGGCAGTAAAGAAAGCTCAACAAAAATTAAATCTTAAGGCTATTTTTCCGTCTTATTCTTAAATGTCTGATCTGGGGTAGCTACGGAAAATTGAAATAAAAGTAATTTTAAACTGAAAATCAAAATTCTGTTGAGAAGGTCTGTGAAAGGGAATAACCCTAGCCTTACAAAAAAAAAAAAAAAAAAAAGGTGTATGGTTGCATTCGGGGTGTATACAATGCTTTATAACGTAACACGAGGAACATGTCGAATTGAGTGTACATTACGGAGACTGCGCTATAGCCTAGAGAGAACCAATAAAAAATAGTTCATTGAAATATGTCTTTCTTAAACACGACTTTTCAGATTATTTCATAGGGATGTGTAAAATGCCTTTAATTATAGACGTGGTGAGAGAGAGAGAGAGAGAGAGAGGGAGAGAGAGAGAGAGAGAGAGAGTGGAGGGACATAGTGGCAAAGAGGTAGGGGAAGGGGGAAGAAAAGAGAGGGGATGGAGATAATTGTAATTATTGTATGATTATGATATAGACGCGTGTATCGGCCTGCAAATACAATTTTTGAACGCTAGTAGTTATAATGGACTTGTATTTCTTTTTTTGTTTTCATGACAGATTTGAAAATACCTCATTCACATGGAAGAAAGCCCTTTTATGAGTAAGGACGTATCCTCCCGTTCACATTATAATTATTCTTAACTTGAACTCGTATTATAACAACAAAAGAGAAGACAAAATTCTTTAGTGTAAGAAAAATTGTCTTACGCTGGCATTCATCTCGTTTCCTTTTGATTTTCACTTCGAAGACTTGGGTCTCGAACGAAAACTTTTTTTATCCCAAGGCACCGGCATTTAAATATTGCAGTTTTCATGTTTTAATTCCTTCAATAAAACGTTTTATTTACACGGTTTATATGCTGTATAACTACAAGATCTTAATGATTGAAAATTCTTATGAAATATGAAAATGAGATTTGCGCTTCTGCACCGTATCTTTGGTCTCGTTATAAAACAATGTTTTGTGAGAGACTAATATTCAATAAAGGCTTCAAGATATCTGGCATTTGATAGAAAACCAACTTCCTCACTTTGCGACATGTAACGGGAAAAGAGTTGGACAGTAAAGCCCCATGTAAAGGCACTTCATACACCGTGCGGTTGTAATTGTCTATTTGGCATTCCATAATTTTATCGTCTGCGAAGATTGTAATTTTTGGCCCAAAACTGGGGCACGTTATGGCGATGGAAAAGGAATTGCATCGTTAATCGGCATATTATTTATGCCTGCCTGAGACTTTGGTAACAAGTGGCACAGTGGTAAGCATAAATAGAACTTTTAGGTTTAATTTCAAGAGAACTCGCTCAGTATGCATACAGCAATCAGTGTTATCCTACTGTAGAACTTCAATAGCTCGTGTATCAGATTGATGCATTGTACGCATAGTGTGCAGGTCTTTGTGTAGTACTATAATTATGAATATTTGTTTGTATGGAAATATACAGAAACTCTTAATCAGTATCGAATTTATTGTGTAATGATAACTCAACTAGATTAAACTCAAACCTCAGTCCTGAGGAAATAAGCACTCAAATACGCCAAAACTTGATATAAGATGGTTGACATTACATTTATTGCTCACATAACATTTCTGCAATTACATTGTCTATTTAAGCTGTTTTCGACACCCATTGTATAAATACGTTTACAAATATTCCTTATTTGTAGGATATCAGTTTAGAGTTTATTTCTAATTTTCACAACACTTAGTGTATTAAATACTGGACAGTATTGCTATTATGATAATTTAAGTCCAATTACTTTAAATTGAAGTTCATTGTTATTCACCTTAGTATAATGTTTAGACTCATAATACAGTGGAACCTTATTATTAAAGGCACTGATGTGGCAGACTTTACCTATAACAATGTATCTTCTCTCGTCCCAAGTGCCTCGTTATAATGCAGTTGCACTGTAACATGCTTTGATATGATGATATACTTATGTTGGATTTTGTTCATTTGTTTGTTTGTTTATAGTTTTTACGGGAATCTAAGGAACAAAGTGAATCAGCAAGCCAAAGAGTCAGCTTTGACCATGATGAAGAGACTAGATTCAATAAAGCTGTTTTGACTATTGTTTACCCAGTATGAGAACACGTGCGAGCTTTCGTTTGTTTGTCGTCGTAGTCCGGGCAGGCACAGTAAAAACACTTCCAACGTAGCGTCAAAATGGCCTCATCATCATCAACAAGCCTGATTATCAAGATGGAGCCAATAAATAGACGCTAGACATTTGAGTTGAGTTCAACATGACATTTCAGCGGGATGAACCTACGAACATACATATGTAACTACGTTTGGCGACGAGCACAGGATATATGCTAGAGATCAGCTACAATTGCACCATAACGCATGAATCTCAGAATCTGAGTGGATGTTGATGGATTTTGATTTGGATTGTGAAACGATGTTGTGATCCAGTCATTTCTCATATGTCTCAATAGTTCGAGGTATGTAGAGCTGTGTATGGACGCTATGCAGTTTGATCTACACTAATGTTACAGTTACAATGAATTATGGTTGCAATGCAGCAGTGTCATCGATTTATTATTGAGGTGTATTATGGACGCTAAGCTGGAATCGGCCACAATCGTTATTATACACTGTTATAAAATACGTGGCTTTACCATAATTTGCACCAGCAGTTGGCATGCAGCCATAATGTAACAGGACTAAAGCCCAGTGTAGATGTTAGCGGATCAGCCAAGCCCAAGTTCAAGACTATTCTGTGTCAGCCTCTCGTAGCGGCCCTAGCATAATTTATGAACTAGCCTAATCCAGCTGAAGTCCAGCTTGAACAACAGCCCGGGAATCGGCCCGGTCAAGCCATACAGCCCGGGAGCCAGCGTGGTTTAGTCTTGTACAGTCCAGGTCCAGCCAGGTTTGAACTTGAAGCATAAATCAAGCCAACAACATTGAATTTATAAATGAAACATTGGATCTGAACTTGATGAAATAAAGGTAGTTAGAACCAGAGCTATAATAGGCTCTGTGAAACTTCAAGACTCTTGATAACAAATTAACAGAGGTCAAGTAAAAGTTGAATTTTAATAACTATTTCATGTATAGTAGTCTATTGAAAAGTGTTTCCAATATGATTCTGCAAATATTGCATGTTTTGTTTGCAGGTAGCCGGCATTAGTTTTGTGCTCAAGTGACAAGAAAGTTAAAGGTGTAATTTCATTACAAAGTGATATTGACATCGCAGTTCAGAGTCAAGCAAGGAAGGAATATGTGGCGATGTTGAACTTTATCGCATGATCGCGTGGTCTGCATTCAAGCCCTTTTGATAAGCGAATTTTGAGGCGTGCGTAAAGGCTTTATTGGGAGATGTAAAATCAAATTACTATGGAGTATTTGTAATTGCATTAGCAAGAAGCATTTTAAGCGGTTTTACATTGATGAGGTTGGTAGGCTTAGCGCTGTAGCTTTGCTTAAATTGATGTTTGATTTCACTCTAGTTGCATGACAATTTAATTTGGTCAATTTGCTGTACAAGGTGCAAGTGCATGGTTTAGCATAAGAGGCCAGCTCCTTATTACATTTCTGTTGTGTCAAAGCCAATTAAACATGGCAGATTCAAGAAAGTCATCAAGGGAGAGGCAGCCCACGGAAAAAATGGCCGCTCTTCAGGCCTCTGAAGAATCAAAGACAGAGCGGAAGTTTTTCAAGATGTACGGCTCCCTTAAGGCCACAGTAAAGGCAGCTAGAACAATCATTAAGACAGAGACAGAAGAAGGTCCCATCAAACAACAGATATCCATACTGGAAGCAGGAGAGAGGGAATTGATGGAAACCTACGAGATTTTGAGGAGACACAAGGTCCCCATAAGAGAGGCCACCACGAGGATGGACCGTGCCAACGCAATGGTCAGAGATAGCCTCAACGCCCTGGAAGAAGTTCTGGGATCCCTAGAAGGTCCTTTTGACGCCGAGGATCGGAAGCAGATAGCGAAAGAATTCTTGAAACAAGAATATGCTTCATCGGTCTTCAGCTCAAATTTAAGCGAAATGGACCAAGGGGTTGAAACCAGCCAACCGCGTGGAGCCACACCAGTAATTGACATTGATAGCAATCCTGGACAGCCTGTAGAATCTCGTAACACACCATCACTTCCTCTTCAAGACAAAATGTACCCAGGAGTTGGAGTAAACCAACCACCTGAAGGTATTCAAGGGCAGTCAGCAGAACTTCCTGCCAAGACGTCATCTCCTTCCCTTCAAGATGAGATGGGCCCAGAGTTTAGAGTAGGCCAGCTACATGATAGTCTACCTGATTCGCATGTGGAACCTCGTGACAAGACACCACTACAGCCGCCTCAGACAACGTCGGTTGACGTCCAGGGCTTATGTAAGGCTTTAGCAGACAACATGTACCACACAAGACTTCCGATGCCAGTGCCACGCACCTTTAGTGGGGATTCGCTCGAGTTTATAGAGTTCGAGAAAGGTTTCAAGACTTTGATCGAAAACCGTGGCATACCACCAACAGAGATGCTGTATTATCTGAAGCAGTACCTGACTGGTCCGGCAAGGGAGGCGGTGGAAGGTTTCTTTTTCGGGGACTCCAAAGAGGCATATGATGGGGCATGGAGGTGCCTTCGACAGAGGTATGGTCATCCTTTTAATGTCCAACAAGCGTTCCGGAAGAAGCTAAGTGCTTGGCCGAAGATATCCTCCAAAGATGCCATAGGTCTTCAGAAGTTTGCGGACTACTTAAAGTCTTGTGATGATGCTATGCCATATGTCACTGGCCTCCAGGTGCTAAACGACTGCTATGAGAATCAAAAGATGATAGCCAAACTTCCAGACTGGCTGATTAGTAGCTGGAATAGGGTGGTATCAGATGAGTTGGAAGGCGGCAGCTATCCTTCATTTTCTAAGTTTGTGAAATTTGTTGCTAAGGAGGCAAGGATAGCCAACAATCCCATTTCTTCTCTAGGTGCCCTGAAATCTGAGGACTCTCAAAGAGAATCAAGTCCCAAGACCTCCAAGATCGAGCGAGAAGCAAGAAATAAGGGATCTGCTTTGGCTGTCAACACCAAGGAAAGTGCCGAAGGCAAGAACATCCCAAACCAAGTCAAGAAGGCTCCAAAACCTTGCTGCCTGTGTAGTGAAACTGGACACAAGTCCGAGGACTGTGACAAGTTTTTGGCCAAGCCACTTTCTGAACGCAGGAAGTTTGTTCAAGAAAATCATGTATGCTTTGGTTGCTTACAGAAGGGGCATTTTTCTAAGGCATGTAAACAAAGGCTGAAGTGTAGTACATGTGGTAAGCGCCATCCCACGGCTCTTCATGAGGAAAACCCTACGATAAGAGAGGACAATGTGCACAAGAGTGAAGGAGCTTCTGAGGACATGGCTACGTCTTGCCAAGTCCGTTCTGGAAAACAAGCTAGCACTTCGATGATTGTACCAGTGTGGGTCGCGGCAGAACAAGCACCATCGTCAGAGATTCTGACTTACGCCCTCCTGGATACCCAGAGTGATTCATCGTTCATTCTAGATGAAGTAGCGCAAGCCCTGAATGCTAAGCAGCAACCCATACGCTTAAAGTTATCTACTATGACTTCGTCATCGAACATTGATTGCAGCGTGACCTCAAGTATCTTAGTTAGAGGTATGATGTCGCCCTCCCAGCTCAAGATAGGAAAATGCTATACGCGTGACTTCATACCGACTGATAGAGAACACATCCCAAGCAGAAGTACTGCTGAGAAGTGGACTCATCTCCAAGATGTTGCAAGAGAGATGCCAGCACTTCAGAGATGCGAAATCGGCCTACTGATAGGCTATAATTGCCCAAGAGCTCTGACACCAAGACAAGTAGTTACTGGTAGCGATGTAGAACCATTTGCTATTCGAACTGACCTCGGCTGGAGTATTGTTGGCTTTGCCGAAGAAGAGAATGCCATGGACTTCAGTAGCCAGTGTGGGAGGGTTTCTACTCGCGAGATACCATTTCCGAAGCCAAAGGAGATCATAGGGTTGCTTGAGACAGATTTCGCAGAGGACAAATCGCCGGACAAAGCATGCTCTCAGAATGACCTACAATTCTTGAAAGACCTTGACAACAAAGGTCGTCCAAACAAGAAGCTTGCCGAATACTGGAGGCCGGTTCAGAAGCTCGTACTGCTTCTGGAAAAGGTACCTCCATAGAGCAGGTATGTATGTACACTTGAGATTGTTTGGAGCGGGTACAAATGTTTGACCTTGCATTTGCACATGTACTTCGTTTTCTGGTACAGTTTAAAAATTTAGGACTCAAATTCTGATCTTGTTTGCTGCGAATTTTAGATACACAGCGCTTAAATATTGTCGCAACCTTTAAGCTTGCCTTACAACCTTTGCAGTGTGTGTTATAATCTTTTACAGCACATGTTATAAACGTGCATTGTTTGAGTTCCGCATCATCACTTATGCCATTCTGGTTTGATCAAGCTATTCAATTGCCATGTTATTCGTGTTGTAGATTGCAAGTGTACCAATTTACATGCAAGAGGTGTATGGAGTGCTTGCTTAAAAATTTCCATATTATGGTCACATTATTTCACATGCACCACTTATGTAATACTAGTAAATGCATTTTCATATATATGTAAGTGTACTCATGCATGTGATTATGTTACCAGTGAAGGCAATTTTGGTGGGAGTGTAAAGGCACTTCATACACCGTGCGGTTGTAATTGTCTATTTGGCATTCCATAATTTTATCGTCTGCGAAGATTGTAATTTTTGGCCCAAAACTGGGGCACGTTATGGCGATGGAAAAGGAATTGCATCGTTAATCGGCATATTATTTATGCCTGCCTGAGACTTTGGTAACAAGTGGCACAGTGGTAAGCATAAATAGAACTTTTAGGTTTAATTTCAAGAGAACTCGCTCAGTATGCATACAGCAATCAGTGTTATCCTACTGTAGAACTTCAATAGCTCGTGTATCAGATTGATGCATTGTACGCATAGTGTGCAGGTCTTTGTGTAGTACTATAATTATGAATATTTGTTTGTATGGAAATATACAGAAACTCTTAATCAGTATCGAATTTATTGTGTAATGATAACTCAACTAGATTAAACTCAAACCTCAGTCCTGAGGAAATAAGCACTCAAATACGCCAAAACTTGATATAAGATGGTTGACATTACATTTATTGCTCACATAACATTTCTGCAATTACATTGTCTATTTAAGCTGTTTTCGACACCCATTGTATACAGTTAAATACGTTTACAAATATTCCTTATTTGTAGGATATCAGTTTAGAGTTTATTTCTAATTTTCACAACACTTAGTGTATTAAATACTGGACAGTATTGCTATTATGATAATTTAAGTCCAATTACTTTAAATTGAAGTTCATTGTTATTCACCTTAGTATAATGTTTAGACTCATAATACAGTGGAACCTTATTATTAAAGGCACTGATGTGGCAGACTTTACCTATAACAATGTATCTTCTCTCGTCCCAAGTGCCTCGTTATAATGCAGTTGCACTGTAACATGCTTTGATATGATGATATACTTATGTTGGATTTTGTTCATTTGTTTGTTTGTTTATAGTTTTTACGGGAATCTAAGGAACAAAGTGAATCAGCAAGCCAAAGAGTCAGCTTTGACCATGATGAAGAGACTAGATTCAATAAAGCTGTTTTGACTATTGTTTACCCAGTATGAGAACACGTGCGAGCTTTCGTTTGTTTGTCGTCGTAGTCCGGGCAGGCACACCCCAATCACACCAAACTAGTGCTCATTACGTTCTGTAAAATGTTGCCAAACGGGCTCAAACTGTGAAAGGTGTAGTAGCAACTGTTAACGATTTGTGTCAAAACTTTATGGACGGGCTCGGACTGGCTGGGACGGGAAGTGTGCTCCAGAACTTTGAGCCTGTTCAAAATTTTCCCTGTCCAGCATTTAGACGGAGTGACGACGTACTTAAAACGAGATGGACGTACTACGAACGGAATTGCCGTATACTTAGGTCCTTAGGAACGTGTTACAACGTGACGTGGTCTAGCATCAATAATATCAGCAATAAGAGTAATTGAACGGAAATGAGGAATGGCAAGAACGCGCTGGGTTTTCATAGCCATTGGGCCTATATGGGCGCGTTCGAACGCCCAAGGAACTACAAACTTACAAACTAGTTACAACATGTTGTGAACTAGTTGGAATGGTTTGGACGTTTTGGGAACGACGTAAAACTAGTTAAAAACTGGTTTAAACTGATTATGATCGGGCTTGGACTGCTTGGAAATGGCCAATTTAGCCGATCTGAATTTGATATGCACTGACTGTGGACGGGGTACAGACGAGATGTACGTATTGAGGACTGTTAATGAACGATCTAGGATCGGGTCGTAGAAATTATTTACCCATTCTACCCCGACCATAACCCGTTTTTACGATTTCCTAGGACGGTTCTAGAACGTAGTGAGAACTAGTTTTGTGTGATGGGGGCTTATACTGCTGATAATTAATGCTCGACCACAGCACGTCGTTACACGTTCCTAGTAGGATCGAAGTACGACAATTCCGTTCATAGTACGGCAATCAGTCGTTTGTAGTACGTCCTCTTGAACAGGCTCAAAGTTCTAGAGCACTTTCCCTTTCCCGAACCGGCCCATGAAGTTCTTAAACAGATCGTAAACAGTTGCTACTACGTTCAACTCCGTTCGCACACAGTTAGAGCCCGTTTGGCAACATTTTCCAGAACGTAGTGAGAACTAGTTTGGTGTGAGACGGGCTTAAGGAAACAGAAAACTTTGCAATCGCTTTTAGTTTTCAAATAAAAATGGGTTCTTCTAATAATCAGCCCCTAACATTAGTTTACGGGCTACATAAACATTTCTGAGTGATATTGCGTAATAAAGTGGGTGACGAGATCCCCTTAATAACATTTTGTAGAGTTTCTCTTGAATTTTCTGCAAGCGACGTCTGAGTTGAGGCAAGTAAAGTAAGGTATGATAAAAAGTTGCATTTCAATATCGGTCTGTTAACTAAATAGATGCGTTATTTCTGCATTTAAAGCAGCCAATGTCACAATCTTTTTCCTCCACTATATTATACGAGAAGAGGTAATGTTTGTGCGCCAGCATAATGTTGTATAACTGCACACGTATGGTTTTCGGTCTCGCGGGCCTTCGGTCAACTTGGTTGTTACCCCGACCCCCCCCCCCCCCCCCCGCCGCATGCCTCCTTAGCCTTTAAATACACGTATACTTATTTCTTCCTTGTTTTTCTGAAATATTTTTGTTTAGTTTAATTCTATTTTTTCTTTATTGTTCTTGATTCTTTTGTTTCTCAGTTCAGCCGAAGTTTGACAGCTGAGGCGTATGATGAGATTGATTTTGGTGTTGTTAAGAAAATAATTACCTTATTTTGTGTACCTCTTTGTTCAATTTTTAATTTGCATATTTCTAAAGGCCCTTTCCCTGATAAGCTTAAAATGGTGAAAGTCATTCCTGTACATGAAAATGGATCTCTAGATGACATTTCAAATTATCGTCCCATTTTGGTTCCTCCTCTATTTTTTTAAAATTTTTTTTAGTGATGTTCGTATGAAAGGTTGTATTTTTTCTATGTGCCCATGCAACATTTAACATAACATTCAATATGGTTTCGTAAGCCTGGTCACTCCGCATGGACGACTCTTCTTGACTTTATTTATAAAGTCTCCAGTGCTATTAATTCCAGTCGTTATCAAGATTCAACCTATGTATGATGAAAATCAAAAAGAACCACCAGCGATCACCGTGACTCCTGCGCGAGATGAAGATGTTCGGCGACGTTACCATCGATGCTTCGAGCGATAGCGATAGTGAATATTCAGCCCCGTCAGCTGAAAATCCAACCCCAACCCCCCCCCCCCCAAAAAAAAAAACGCAACAGAAAACCAACAGAAATCTGCAAAAAGAATAAAGAAAGCAAGAACGAAAGCTCGGAAGAAGTAAGTGAACTAAGATATTCATTCGTTATAGTTACAAGAATACTGACAAGCGAAATTATGCTAATTATGCTTTTTAAGACGATTGCATTACTTAAAAATAAGAACTGGTGTCATAAATGAATTTTTCGTCATAGAAAAGTCGTATTATCCATGTTTTCAGGCTTCCTGGATTAAGATTAGCAACATTATTACATATTGCACATCATGCTAGTTATATGATTATGCTAATTAGGCTATTACCAAAAGTTGCCCAAGGTTGCCAAGCTGGCAACCAAGCTGAATTTACTTCGTTACCCATTTAGAACACGAATCCACAAAAAACCTTGTACTTAACAACTTTTCCAGGTCATGTACATGGTATATGGTACCGTCTACTGGACTATTGGGTAAGGGGTAAGAAAGGGATGCCTATTGTCTTCTTTACTTTTCGTTATTGTAGCTGAATTTCTAGCATGTAAGATCCGACAAAACGAAGATATAAAAGGAATTGATATATTAGGTTCTGCATTGTCCGAATTAAATGTGTCTCAATTTGCAGATGACACAACCATTTTTGTAAATAGTTCAGAATCCGGGATTAAGGTTATGGAAGAGGTCAGAAATTTTGGAGCACTGGCAGGTCTTCAAGTAAATTGGGACAATACAGATTATGCAAATGGAGAATGTGGGGAATGTACTGAACAACCAATAAAATATTTGTGAATCAATCAGGAACAATTAAAGGGAAATGGATGTTTAATTTGGGATGAAGACAAAAAAAGAAATCGAAACCAATTCAAAATATATTAAAAAACTGGAAACAGAAAATATTAACGTTTTATGGTAAAGTGGTTGTTACTAAAGCCTTAATCGTTTCACAAATTGTTTATACGGCAACTGTAGTACCTGCTCCTAATTTTGTTATCAATTCATGGAATAAAAGTATATATGCTTTTCTTTGGAGTTCAAAAAGAGAAAGAGTGAAAAGAAATGTCTGTATAAATAAACAGTTAGATGGTGGTCTTGATCAGGGGCGTCGCCAAAGGAGGGGGGGGGGGTGTGGGGGTGCGACACCCCCACCTGTCAGGATATTGTCGGTAAAATTGCGCTGCCGTCGGAGAAAAGGAGAAAAGGGGGAGGGAAAAAAAGAGAGTGAAAAGGGAAACAAAAGAAAAAAGAAAAGGAAAAGAAAAGAAAGAAAGGAAAAGAAAGGAAAGAAAGGAAAAGAAAGGAAGAGAAAGGAAAGAAAAGAGAAGAAAGAAAGGAAAAGAAAGAAGAGGAAAAAAAGAAGAAAAAAGAGAGAAAAGGGAAACAAAAGAAACGGGGGATGAAAGAGAGGAGAGAGAGAGAGGGGAGGTAAGAGCCTGAGAGAGGAGGAGTGGGTGTAAAAGAGGGGGGGGGGGGGGGGGGGGGTTGTTGGGTTGAGTCGTCTCGTCGAGGGAGTAAGAAAGACACGGGTAAATATGTAGCTGTGTCGGGTCAGCTGTGTCGGTATTCTTGCTCAATCCTCGTGTAGGCCTACTATATCAATGCAGAAGTTTGAAATCGGTGAGATGTATATTGTCGGTCGGCCGACAAGTTTTTTCCCCTTCGAACTGTGACTGTTTATCCGCTGTGACGACTTCGAGAGTGACTACAACTACAATACTTGTATTTTCTCGAAGTTTCACTTTCCTATAATATCAGCTAAAAAAATCAGAGGTTTAAAATTTTCGGGGAAACTAAATTCAAACAAGGATTAAGATTCAACAACGGTACGACGAATCGTCTTCCTTTCTCTCTATTATGATGAAACGCCAAAGATTCCGCGCTTCGCGCGGGAGGAGAAAACTTCATTTAGACGAGTCGAAAACGGTATAACGAATTATCTGCTTTCTCTAATAATTTAAGGAAACGTCAAAGCTTCCGCGCTTCGCTGTTAAGGGGGAAACTGAATTCAGACATTGGGGCTTACTAAAGGTAATACAAAGTTTTGGGAAATTTCGAAAATTGGTTGGATAGTGATTCTTAACAATTTTGATAATTTTGGATGCCCATGTGGATGTATCAAGGGCACTAAAAATTTAGCCCATAAAACACTTCTGCTCTTGAGAAAAATTGAATATAAAAATTTACCGGTGCTCCCAGTAAATTTTGATAAATTTCAAAGAGCGCCTACGGCCGTACAATGGTAGCTGCGAATTTTCCAAACGGCAATAGCAAATCGGTCGATTTTAGTCAAGAAACATTGTTTTATAGCTTAATTAATGTCTTGACCTTGAGAGGGAGCTATACAACATAAAGAGTTTATTATTGACAATTTCATAACTTTAGATTCGATTTCAACCGCGACAAAGATCAATGAATATTGTAGGCTCACATATTTTTCAAATATGTTCATTTGAACCAAATTCATGACCCCATACCAAAACTTTGTATTACCTTTAAGAGTCGAAAACGGTACAACGAATCATCTGCTTTCTCTAATAATTTATGAAAACCTCAAAGCTTCCGCGCTTCGCGCGAAAGGGGGCACTGAATTCAGATAAATGGGATAAATAAGAGTCGAAAACGGTGCAACGAATCATCTGCTTTCTCTAATAATTCAAGGAAACCTAACAGCTTCCGCGCTTCACGTGGGAGGGGGAAACTTCATTCAGACAAGGATTAAGAGACGAGCACGGTTCAACGAATCGTTTACTTTCTTTAATAATTTAATGAAACGTCAAAACTTCCGCGCTTCGCGAGGTAGAACTGAATTCAGATAAGGATTAAGAGTATAGAACAGTACACCGAATCGTCTGCTTTTTCTTTTAATTCAATGAAACGTTAGAACTCCCGCGCTTCGCGCGGGAAGGGGAGAAACTGAATTCAGACAAGGATTAAGAGTCGAGCACGGTTAAACGAATCGTCTACTTTCTCTAATAATTTAATGAAGCGTCAAAACTTGAGCGCTTCGCGCGGGAGGGGGAGAACTGAATTCGGATAAGGGTTATAAAAATTAAGAGTCGAGAACAGTACACTACTAAATGGTCTGCTTTTTCTCATAATTTAATGAAACATCAAAAGAGGGGGAGAAACTGAATTCATTCAAGGATTAAGAGTTAGGCACAGTTCAACGAATCGTCTTCTTTCTCTAAAAATTTAAGGAAATGTCAAAGCTTCAGCGCTTCGCGCTAAAATGGGGAAACTGAATTCAGACATTTAGGGCTTATTAAGAGTCGAAAACAGTACAACGAATCGTCTGCTTTCTCTAATAATTTAAGAAAACACCAAAGCTTCCGCGCTTCGCGCGAGAGGGGAAAAACTGAATTCTGATAAATAGGGATAAATAAGAGTCGAAAACGGTGCAAAGAATCGTCTTCTTTCTCTAATAATTTAATGAAACGTCAAAACTTCCACGCTTCGCGCGGGAGGGAGAAACTTCATTCAGACAAGGATTATGAGACGAGCACGGTTCAACGAATCGTCTACTTTCTTTAATAATTTAATGAAACGTCAAAACTTCCGCGCTTCGCGCGGGAGAACTGAATTCAGATAAGGATTAAGAGTCGAGAACAGTACACCGAATCGTAAGCTTTTTCTCATAACTTAATGAAACGTCAAAGCTTCCGCGCTTTACGCGGGAGGGGGAGAAACTGAAGTCAGACAAAGATTAACAGTCGAGAACGGTACAATAAATCGTCTTCTTTTCCTAATAATTCAAGGGAACGTCTAAGCTCCCGCGCTTCGCGTGGGAGGCCTAACACCCACACCCCTAATGAGCGCGAAAAAGTGATTTGCTTACTCACCAGCGCCCCTCCCTAAAATAAGATCCTAGCTCCGCGTCTGCATTAAAATATATAGCTATGATGCTGACTAAGTTGACGAAATAGTTCGTATATTTATGTCGTCGAGGAAAATGACCATTTGCGCATACGCAAGTACTATAGATAATCCATAGGAAAAACAATTTAGTCTTCGGCCCCGGGTTTATAGCGCTAAATTTGTAGATATTGGGACATTTAATTTTGTCGGTAATTGGTGGCTAGTTTTGTCGGTAATCGTTGGCCTCTACACCCCCACTGAAAAAGGTCTAGCGACGCCCCTGGCCTTGATAAGGTAGACATGGAATCGGAAATAAATTCTTTTTATTTATCTTGGAAAAGTAAATTATTGGATGAAACAACTTGTAGATGGAAATCATTATTCAAATATTGAATCGACAGGATTGGAATTTTTCCAAATATCTTACGTTGTAATTGAATAAGAAAAATATAAAAATGCTGTGTATACAAAATGGAATGTCAGAGTTTTATCAAAATATTCTTGATGCATGGTCAGAATTTAAATATCGAAGTTTAGTTGAGGTCATAGAAATAGAAGAGGACATACTATGGAAAAATAGTCATTACATTTAAAAAATCTACACTTTGTCTATTGTTTTCAAAGTGGTACGTAGCTCGAATTTGTAAAGTAAAGCACGTGATTACAAATGGTAGTTGGAAAGACTCGATTCTGTTAAATAGTAAAATTGGTATTCTTCAATTATTATTTGAGTTCGAATACGCCAAATTGAAGAAATGTTTCCCATGCTATTAGTTAAATAAATCATACGTTCGAAAGAATGTTCAATTAAGTAGTAAACAAAACAATTCAAATTTGATAGAAGTAGCTTTTCCTTTATCATAAGTGCCCCTTTTTAATTCTCTTAAGTGCTTCTCATCATATCTCGTCAGTGCCTCTTTTCAGGTGCGATAAGTGCCCCTTTCACGTCTGATAAGTTCTCTTTTAACAATGATATGAGCCTCTTTCCTTTTGTAATAATTGTCTTATCCCTTTCGATAAGTGTGCCCATTTCCTCTCATCACTAGTGCCCATCATTTAAAGTGACTATGAGCAATTTCCCCCAAAAGCTAACTCGCATTTATAAATGAAATAATAATTCTGGTACTTATCAAAGGTCTTTTCAGTTTTCCGTTTTGAAAATGGGCTTATAACTCCACTCAGGATTGGGTGTTTTCCTCTCTTTAAGATTTTTCGCACTGCGACCTCACAAACATTGAATTTTTCCTCGCCTCGCAAATGAATATTCAGCTCAATCAATATCTTGAATGATGTATAAAAAGAAACAAATATTGAAATCATCCCTGATAATGTAATCACAATGTAAGGGTATATACCAATGTCAACAAAATTGTATATTTTCGCTTTGAAATTTCCCTTTGTAGGTGCCCTTTTTGTCCAGAAAGTGCCCTTTTTAGTGTTTGTGCCCACCACTTTGGAATTTGCTCCGCCGCCCCTGCGTCCCGCCGCCCCCTACTTCGGGGTCAAAATGACCGCATGCGTGTTACAAAAATGTCCGGTAAAAGGGTACTTTTCACGCACCAAAGTCCGGCTCGTAGTACACAAAATTGACTTTACACACCGGAGTGTTTTCAAAAGGAGGGAACACGCATATGCGTACCCCAAATAACACTGAGTGGGGGGGGGGGCATGCGTACAGCTTAAGGTTTGGGAAATTCTTTATTAATTAAAACATTTTCCGAAATATATCTCGATTATGTTACATCATGCTTTGATTGTTTTTCATATCAATTATTGTGATATTGTTTGATCCAGGTCGTCTGATTGATTTATCAATTGACAAGGGGCCACACCCACAGCTTCAAACTATCGAAAGTTAGAGCCTTCACTTCAGTCCGAATGGGATCGTTCTCGCAGGGAGTCGTCAATTTATGGAATGCACTTCCAGCTTATGTATTTGATAGCCCATCTGTAAACTCATTCAAATCCAACCTGGAAAAAGCATGGAGAGCTAAATATGACATGTTCAACCAGGGAGATGAGAGCTTAAACCCTGGTTCAACCTTAAAGAAATGTTTCCTTGATTTTCCATTGTCCGATGCTCCGACATAGGCGCAATCCCCAGTACACACTCAATCCTGCTACAGAGGGGCATAAGTAATTATACTTATAATTTGTATTATTATTTTGTGAAATGTTATAATTATATTGCATGTTTTTTTTAATTAAAAAAAAAAATCTTATTTCAAGTGTTCGTCTGTTTGCTAGTTTATGTATTGTTAATTTTGGGGCCAACGTATAAGGCTATCTGTTATTTTTTGTTGAACCCTCATTCTTATAAAAAAAAATTCTTTCTAATTGCTGTTTTGTTTTTTATTGATAAAGCTATGCTGTTTGCAAATTTTAGGTAGTTGATGTTGTTTTTATTGAGAGTGAAAATAAAGACTCAGACCAGGGACATACAGACTCAGAGCAAAGTCCCTTTTACGCCTTTATTTAATTTTCTATTTTTCCCTTTAAAAACACCGTAAACTGAAAATAACAACAACCGACCCAATAACCACGCGAATATCAATGATGGACTCCGACTCCGATTCAGATTTTGTGTCCTTTGGGACCCCTCTTGAAATAATTGAGGAAGGTGAGTTAATTTTAGCCTACACTCGTGCAATATATGAATCATAGAGCTATGGCCGATTGTTGACCTATGGCGTGGGGGTTATTATGATCTACGTACATGAATGTATGATCTTTGTACTCTAGTAGTAGTAACTTAGTACTGCAGGCTACGACTTCCGAGTTCGACACGAGTAAGCGCATACAGCGCTGCCCAGGCCAGGGGCGGGGATCGGCTAAGGCTGGCTGCGTGGTCGGGCCTCGCTCGATCTTGACGTTGCTCATGGTCGCACATAGACCGAAAGCTTCAGTCTCTATAATCGTCGGTTGTTCCACTGACACTACGTCTGGCTCCACTAGACCTCCGGTTATAGAGACAGAACGATCGCCTATGCCAGTCTATGTTGAAGATATCACGGCTAGATTTTAGCCGCTAGGCCCCTCCCACAAACATGACAAACTTGCCATGGCCGTATTGTTATGCCCCCAAAATTCCCCAAAATGTCATTTTACCTCGTCCATATCCAATTTTAAATTAGGCCTAGGATATAATACATCGGTTCCACTTACTAAATTTATTGAAATATTCCGTTTAATGGTCCCTTTTAAGGAAATTATGGGTCAAAATCGACATCCATGTTGAAAATCTTGCAAGCCCTGTTAAACTCTCGCTGCCGTCAATCTCATCCCTTCTAGATCTAGTCTACGCCGAAGGCAAAATTATTATGAAGGAAAAACTGTGATAACGCCATTACGAACGTGTAGATGGCGCACAGTTTTTCCTTCATAATAATTTTGCCTTCGGCGTAGACTAGAAGGGATGAGATTGACGGCAGCGAGAGTTTAACAGGGCTTGCAAGATTTTCAACATGGATGTCGATTTTGACCCATAATTTCCTTAACCCTATTTAGCCCGGGGGGGGGGGGCTTGAGAAGCCCCCCCCTCGACATTTTTCGCGATAATTTTTTAACGCAAGAAAATCTTGCACTGAAATTTTGTGACTTTTTTCTTTCGAGTCTTGCGCAACTTTTGAAAGAAATTTTTCGAAAATCGGACCTACCATTACAAAGTCACGTGTCCTTTTGTCTTCGCATGTCAGCCCGAAAATCGCTCATTTTTGTGATTTGTGTACAAAACATATGGAAATCTCATTTTTCAAATAAAGAGGTAAAACATTGGTTATTTGGTCTTGTTTAGATTTTAGGTGTTTATTTTGGGGTCAAAATAGTTGAATTATAGTTGGAAATGAAATAAAACAACAAAAACAATAAAATACATAAGTTAAAAAAACAAAGAAATACATAAGAAATTATCAAAACAATAGATAACATAAGGAATAACCCTGGTTTTTCCAATTTTTGTGTTGTATTATTATTCCAAATGGTCTAACAAATATATGTAGTGAAAAAGAATGCTTAAATATGAATAATGTCTGATTTATGGGCAAAAATGTGAATTTAATGACCTTATTTGCATAAATTACCATAAATATGCAAATGAGTGAATTTTTCAAAACTATTGAAATTACCATAGTATTCTATACACTTCACTTGACATGTATGCAAATTTTCGCGGCGATCGGGCGTTTCACGGCCGAGATCACAGGGGGGGGGGGGGCCTGAGAAGCCCCCCCTGGGCTATGCAGTTTCAAAATAGCCCGGGCTAAATAGGGTTAAAAGGGACCATTAAACGGAATATTTCAATAAATTTAGTAAGTGGAACCGATGTATTATAGCCTAGGCCTAATTTAAAATTGGATATGGACGAGGTAAAATGACATTTTGGGGAATTTTGGGGGCATAACAATACGGCCATGGCAAGTTTGTCATGTTTGTGGGAGGGGCCTAGCGGCTAAAATCTAGCCGTGATATCTTCAACATAGGCTGGCATAGGCGATCGTTCAGTCTCTATAACCGGAGGTCTAGTGGAGCCAGACGTAGTCTCAGTGGAACAACCGACGATTATAGAGACTGAAGCTTTCGGTCTAGGTCGCACATAGCTGCATATACTATCCTGACTGTGTATTAAAAGCTCTGCTATTGATTCTCAACATTTGAAGCACCACTGTACCAAACTCGGCGCTAGTTCAGAAGTCTATCCACAATTTGACCCGTAACTCGGGCGTGGAGATAGTAAGGTGGTCATGGTGGTGTGACCAAAGTTCGCGTACTAACACTTAAAAGCGCTTAGATCTATAACAGGAGAACGATACGCGATACCTGTGTGGGACTGAGACAACAAAATATTTGAGCACCCTCGACAACTATGTCCCTTTTTGGAATGTTTACATATATAAAGCCCATCACAAGAGGGCAGTAAATATGCGTGAACTTAGGTCACACTTTTTGACAGACGTCGGTAGTGGTAAGCCTTCCGATATTCTCATCTTATCATTGGTTTGAAGTAAATACAGCCTTGGAATGTAATATAATCTGATTATATGATAAATTACGATTCTTATGACGTATGGAACATGATCGATATAGACCTATGTTGATCTGAATATTTTGTAATGTGCAAGAAAAGAAAAATATCCGCAAACTTTGGTCACCCCTTCATACTAAAACATACCCAAAATTTACTACTCGAAATGAAGTAAATATTCATCAAATGTCCAAATAAAGACGGTAGATAACTTCACACAGGCGCACGCTCGCCCGCAACCCACCATCAGTATATTGTGCAGCGGTTTGCCGTGAAACAATTGACAGTAACAGTTTAAAATATGCATTGCCAATTTGATACGATAATAGCGACTAGTTTAGTATATTAATGTCAAATATTTCTCTTATGATTTGACAGATGAGCCTCTTCCAAAACCTATATCAGTACAGGACCAGGTCGTTCATGATCGACAAGGTCGTCAACGTTTCCATGGAGCCTTTACTGGAGGGTTTTCAGCTGGCTTCTTCAACACGGTCGGATCTAAAGAGGGTAAAGTTGAATGAGTATATGAATACAAACAAATGATGTTTTATAAACATCTCAGAGGGGTTTAAGCACTCTTTGAAAATAAATGTGTTGGTATTGCTTGCACTTTAGATATTTGTAAATCACACTCTGACTTTTTTCATGATTTACAAGGTTACATCATTTTAAAATGAGTACAAAACAAATCGTTCAAATACACTTTTCTTAGAAACAAATCATTCTCTTCTTTATGAACATGGGGCCTTCCTTGTATGATTATCCATATTTTCTCCATCAGGTTTGGTCCTTTCAGGAAGAAAAAGTATAGAGAAATGTTTGATTTGTGGTCCCTCCCTCTATTTTGAGTCACTGAATAGAGTACACAAATCATTGAATGCATTCAGATGTACTTTCTAAAGACAGTTACAGTTGTAGCCAAGTAAAGTACATCCTTTTGATTTCTCTTTTACAGGTTTTACCCCTTCAACCTTTGTATCATCAAGAGGGAAGAAGGCTGATCAACATGATCACAAACCAGAGGATTACATGGATGAAGATGTAAGCATACCCTACCCCTTGAACGATGCCACAGTATTTGAAAATTGAAAAGACGTAATAAACCGGTTTACTAACATTTTCAATTTTTCAAAAGAAAGGTTGAGCTTGACAACTCGAAAGCTTGCTGGGGGCTTGTCCGGCATAGCAACAAGTAATCGATGCAGACTTGATTCCAAGTATTCTAGTTCATTCATTAATAGGGACTTTTAGATTTGCACGTTAACAGCTTTGACTGCAATGTGTGACGTCATTTTAATGCACTGCGCATGCGTCACGTCGTCTCAGTCGGCGATAGAGAATGCGTCACCCTTGATTTTCCTAAATCTAGTACGGTACTAGTATATATGCCGCGTGCGCATAAAATATACAGTTCCTCAGGTAGACAAAGGAACATCCCTTCCCTGCTATTATGTACAAATGTGTAGAACAGGTGTCACATGCATATTCACCTGTTCTACACATTTTTATATAGCAGTGAAGGGATGTTCTACCACAGCAATAGGCCATTTTCGTAATGTAACCAAATTTAATGCAAAAGTCTTTGTGAAGTGCCTCAATACAGATTATTTCATTCACCTGATAAGAATAATAGTATTTCAATAGACAGAGTCCGAACTGCATACATTAGTTGTTGCCAGGTTGGACAAACATTAGGGACTTTTAGATTTGCGTGGACTGATACGTGTGACGTCCATTCACGGCAGTGCATTAACAGGACGTCGATCGTAGCATAGACCTATTGTTTTCGTGCGAATCTAAAAGTCCCTATTATGGCTTGATCTACATAGCAACACTTAATATATGCAGTTGCATTCTCACTATTGAAATACTATTATTCCTATCAGGTGAATGAAATAATTTGTATTGAGACACTTCAAAAAGACTTATGCATTAAATTTGGTTACATTACGAAAATGGCCTATTGTTGAGGGTAGAATGAGGAACTGTATATTTTGTCCTCTTTATTTGTCATGTTCATAGTGTTACTTCTTGCATGCATGTATACCGTCGAGTGAAATCTAAAAGATTTCTAATTGTAGTCAACATGGGCAGTTGAGTACGTTGACACGCATGATCAGTCGGCGTTCGTCGTGTTCTCGTCCACTAAATCTACAAGTCCCTAATAACAGTTTAATGGAATACCTTGTCCCTAGGCCCCAGGAAAGAAACATCAATAAATTTGAATTTGTTCCTAAACCAGTCTATTGTCGCAATACAACTACTTTATCCCCTCCCCTTTTTTTTCATGTGTAGCTTAGAGTATGACTTAAAATTCAGTAGGAGAAAATGTCATAGAGCCAGAGTGTGTACTAATGTATAGGGAGATACTGGTCTAAACCAGTTGGGGTGATAGGTAAACCTGAGTCAATATGGTTGGTCACACCACATCTCAAACGTTGCCATCTGGTCCCGGTTTTGTTGTTTGGAAACCGACGCTCCGATACAGATAATGAAATATATAAGATATTGCAGTATTGCACACCACAAACGTTCATCCACCTTAAAACACTATAGTCTTCAGTTAATGCAGGGGGCAGATATTTCTGCTCAAAAGCAAGCAAAACGGAGGATACGTAGCCATGTGACTTAAGGGGATTATGTCCAGCTAGCTTCTCAGAAAAAGATTTGCTGCAATGCATGCTGTGCGAACTGTGGACTTGCTGCAGACAAATTTTTGGAATATTCATCCACCTTAAAACTCTTTAGTATTTACTTGCTTCTAATTTGTATTTCATTTTCTAGCTCATTCGGAATCAATCAAAACTGCCAATATAAATATGGGTTGCACAGAAGTTCGCGGTATGGAGTGTTGGTACTGGGTCTTGGCGAGAACGAAAAGCAGTTAATGCAGGAGGTAGACATTTTTGTTCAAAAGCAAGCGAAACGGGGGGACACGTAGCCATGTGACCAAATGGGATTATGTCTGCGCTTTCGAGGCCCAGCTAGCTTGCTCAGAAAAGCTTAAATGCAATACATGCTGCAAAGGGCGCATGCTGGTCGGACTTTGGACTCGCTGCAGACAAATTTTCGGAAATATGTATTTGCCAGTCAAGGCTTGTACAATTATTAATGTTTTTTAAAAATGTTTCCTTTCCTTTCGTACCCAAACAACATTTACAATAATGATGCAGATTCTCACGTCAGAGTAGGTAGCATACTTTTAAAGGTACTATGTCCCATTTGCAGGCCAAAAAAATGAAAAGGTTAAATTCCACCGGCATTTGAAAGACAATATTAATTTAGAACTTCCCTAAAAAAAAGGAGGCTTGAAAATGTCTTTAAGTGGGAAAATAATGACTATTAGTTGTTGAATCGGCTTAGGAGCTATAGAGCCAGTAATGTAATAGTCTGATTTTCAGACCATTGTACCGAATGGACGTACGTTTTATGCTGCGCAAAGATTCAATCAGTTTAATTTTGGCCATTACAAGAAGTGGGTTCTTGATGTAGATAAATGCTCATGTACCCTTTTCAGCTCATTTTATGTATGTTATTACCAAAGAAGAAAAAAGCCAGTCAGTCACTAAATAGTGTCTGACAGCGAAGTCTAGCAAGTAAATGGGTTTCCTTGCATAATTTGAATATTAGGACACTGCTAACGTTTAAATTTCACATATAGGACATACATGACATATTCTTAATTCCTGCAAAGTTCTACAAAATTTGATGTTTGCTGCAAAAGGGACATAGTATCTTAAAGTGAAAAAGGGAAAAAATAATAGGACTGAATCAACAATGTTGCCTAGTTTTGCTGAGCAGTTTACATGTAGCTCACCACAAACAGATACAGACTGAACGTAGACTAATGTGAGTAACTCTGTATGTTCCTGATTGATGTGAGGCCGTCGGGACCCAGACATGACTCAGGCCTTGTAATAGACCATTTTGGTAATGTAACAAAATTTACACTTAGTGAGTAGTGACTCAATACAAATTATTTCAATACACCTGTTACAAATAGTTATCAGAATGCATATTGCAAATATTACGTGTTGTTAGGTAGAGCAAGCCAAAATGATTTATTATTATAATTATATTCACTTTAACTTCATGCAACACTTTGTGCATTGATATTCCATTAGAGGACAAAGATGGGATAATTTTATTTATTCTGATTTTGTAAATTCAACACTGATGTATTATTTGGTTGACAGGACAAAGGAGAGTATGGGATAGCTCCACGGAAGCTTGTAACAACTCAGAGGTTTGCTGGTGAGGAGGTGGGATCCAAGAAAAGACCAGCCCCAGATTTCAGCATCATCCCTGATGATGGTAGGATACAAGACATCATTAAACCTACAGAGTGAGTATAAGGCATACCAAGAATTATTATGATTCTAATACATTTTTTTGGAGTATATGTTGTTTGAATAGAGTATCAGGATGTATTTGTATGATCATTTATCGTCGATGGATTATTGAATCCTCAGTTTGGTAAGTTTTCAATCATGTTTAAAGTTAAAGCATTGTTTACATCCCTTATTATAGTAACTTTTTGTATAATTTTTGCATATTTATATCACATTGCTTTATCAGAATATCAAATTGTCTTTGAGCTTCAAAATTAAGAGAGAAAAAACATGCCAGAAATTGAGTTAAAGGTTTCGTCACCATAATACTGAAGGTATATTGAGGTATTGTGGTCTAGTGAATAAGTCACCCGACTGCAGATCACAAGGTACAGGGTTAACGTCCCGCCGCAGCACTAATGTCCTTTGGAAAGACGATAATCTACATTTGCCACTCTCCACCCAGACGTTAAATGGGTACCTGGTAGGATGCGAAAGTTAATGTGGTTGGATGCGAAAGTTACTGTGGTTGGATGCGAAAATTGATGTGGTTGGAGGCGAAAATTGATGTGGTTGGATGAGCAAGTGGAGGGAGTGGAGAATGTGCAAACATTGTGTGCGGGTCAGCCTGAATCGATGACTGGGGTAATAATATATCCGTGAAATGCTTAGACACATTGTTGTATGGATGTATTGGGCACTATATAAAAGCGGAATATTATTATTATTATATTCATTTTCCATGTTAAATACAGTGAGACCAGTGGTGCAAGGCTACTTCGCAGAATGGGATGGAAGCCTGGCCAAGGGGTTGGACCAAAGATGGAAAGAAAGAAAAAAGGGAAGAGGAGGAAGAAGAAGAAAGGTGGAGGTATGTATCAGAAAGCAATAACCTTGATATGGTATTGTAAGTTCTCATCAATCTTTAACAAATAGAAGATTTGCTTATTAAGGTTTTTAATGTATGTGAAGGGGGTGGGGAGAATTAAAAAAAAATCCATTTCTTATGGTACATGAACATGTTCCTTCTGAACAATGTAACAATAACTGTTTTGTCTTGGCCGGGAGTCCTTTTTGGAGGCAATATATTTTTGGGGTGTCCATACATACGTCCCATTCTTGTGATCAGGTTATCTCAAGAACCGATTGATGGATTCCCACAAAACTTGGGTCATGTATGTATTTTGCAGAGCCAATGAACTGATTAGATTTTGGGGTCACATGGTCAAAGGTCACAGGGCTCATTATGTATGCAAAAATAGCTCGTGATCACATTGTCATTAGAACCAATGAACCCATCAAACTCAAGACATTAAAGGGATCGTTTAACAATGTTAAATCTGAGATACACGGCCCTACGTGTTATCAGTGTCTTTAATATGGTGTAATATTGAAGCCCTAAAAAAATTGCGCTTCAAAATGGTCAAGAAGTGCCTCAAAAAAGTAAAAATCTTTGAGTGACCGGTTTTACCATACTCATTTTCCCCAATAGACTGTAGTGTTATGAAAACCGTCAGGCGAACGGTTTTCGAAATTTGTAATTCCAATCATAAATATCTTGATAATCAGACAGGCGATCGGCTTGTAAAAGTCATGGGGTTCCTGACTGACCTAAAGGTTTATAATTATCATTGCATCATGAGCTAAATCTAGAATTTTGTTTCAGAATCTGAGACAAAGTTACCGGATCCCTTTAATGTATCTTGCAGAGCCAATGAACTGATTAGATTTTAGGGTCAAAGGTCAAAGGCACTTGCCCTCTGGAGTTTAAAATAAGTGGGAATAGAATTACTTCAGTTGATCTTTCTTTCTTTTAACACCACAAATATTATTTTGAAAATGTATTAATTTTTCAGCCTTGCCTACCCCCAAAACCTTCTATTTCATAAGGGCTTTTTTCAATTTAGAAAACAAACGTCCACAAAGGCTATGTTAGGGCTCACAGGGGCTTTTTTCTCTTTTATTTATTTGTTCTCATTTTAGTTTTCTATTTATTTTTCTCAGACATATTGTAATACGTGATTAAAAATATCCTGTCCTATACTGAAGACAAACATTCTCCGTCATTTTGCATGCGTTGGTCTAACTAATATATGTGATAAACACAGCAAGGGTGATTCTTTTTTCACTGAACCTTACACATTTCAAGAATCCATTGACAAATCACTTGTACTATGTTATCATTCATTTACCTTTTTCCTGTAGATGATGGGAAGGTTTATGGATGTGCCAGACCACCAATCCTTGAACCACAGGGTGATGATGAGGATGGAGATGAGGATGACAAGGAACATGATGACGAGAGCCCAAATGAAGATAGCGATGAAGAGGACTTCATGAGGGGCTTCCTCTTTGCTCCGGATGATATTCAAGACTTCATGTTTGCTCTCAAGGATGACCAGCACGGCATCGGCTACCAAGGGATGGACTCCAGGTCTATACTCGGTGGTCATGTGACTCTATTCGACGACCCAGTCATGAAGCAGAATAGAAGACAAGGCATCAAGGGCAGCGTAAGTAATGTAATTAATGATCCAGAATTGCTCTGGTGACAGAAGCTCTGGGCTTTATAGTATCAAAAGTTTGGGGTCAGGGTTGGAGTTAAAAGTAAGGTATAGTGTCGGTCCGGTATAGTGTCGTGTCCGGTGCTGAAGCTAGGAATACTGTAGGATATTGATTGTGGAGCAATAATCCAACTGTCGTATGTACAAGTGTGCCGACATCCTATTGAAACTCATTAATTTTAATCTACAGTTTCCACTGGGATTGACACACATTTTCTTACAGGGGTTTTAATTAAACGTTGTCTTGTTCGTTTTCCTCAATCAACAAAATGTACCTGCTTTGCCTGTTTTTCATTTTTTGCAAGCTTTATCAGTCTCTTGTAGAAGGCAGAGCTTTTCTGATAAAGTCATCAGGTAGAATCAAATGTTATGCTGAAGATAAAGTATACTGGCTTTATTTTCAGTTCATGGATTTGTTGTGTTTCGTGCACATTTGAACGATTACATTACTGCTGCATCAGTGTAGCTCTCTGTTCAAATGTGAACAGTGGTCTGACATAGCTTGTTGAAAGTACATTAGATGAGAGCTACCCAAAACATGCATATTGTATTAACAAAACAATTTCATAAGTTATATCACCAGGATTAAAGATAACTCCAGTTCTGGTTAAAAAAAAGAAAATTAATTCTCACAGAATCAAACGAAACTTACACTGAATGTTCAAGATTACAAATAAATGACATGTGCCAAACAATTTTGGAAGAAAATGTATACTGGCTGAGTAATGAGCATAGAAAGACAAGGAAATCAAGGTAGTACTAGCCCCGACACCATGTGTGTTATCCCATATATAGCTTTCTGTGTACAGTGCTTGTTACTTTACCAAGACTCGGTCAAATTTATTATGATTTTGATGACTCCAGAACCTTGCAGTGCTCACCGATACTTACATGCTACATGATCAACTGTTTCTGATCCTTTCCACACCTTTTCTTTCACAATGCAATTGCATTACCAGTACTAAAGTTTATCTTTAATGTTTTTATTAACATATGCTGCCCTCCAAAAGTTTGGGTTTGAAATGTATTTGGGATTATGCTTTTACAATCTGTTTCCACCCCGTTAATGTATGTGGTTTTATTTCTTATAAATCATGAACTCTACCCTTCACCAACTATTACTCTATTTTACTCTCTATTTATTTTTATCTGCCCATGACAGGCTTTTGGAATAGGAGCATTTGAAGATGAGGAAGAGAGTGATGTCTACTCTAGTGACCGGATGTCAAACTATGACCGTGTTTTAGGAGGAGAGGAGGAAAAACAAGAGAGAAGAATGTATGGTTGGACAGGACCTCCTCCTCAACGCTCTAGTAAGTCAGTAACATCTTTTGGTCATGATGTAATCAGGAGATCATCTGATTTATTTTTATAAGTTTTATCCATCAGTCATATTTATGCAGGCGTCAATTTGAAGCCTGGACCCATCCTCCTCACTTCACCACCTTTCTTCACCTCAGCCAATTATGTTTTTACCAAGTTCATAATTTTGTCCTGAATATTTTTTTTTGTAAAGGTGATGCTGACGTTCTAGATGGATTCAAAGGAGCGTCTCAAAAGAAGATTTCAACAAAGGTATGTTATCCTGTTTAAACACTTTTAATGTCATGCATTATTCATACTTTGTAGCCTAGAGGCACATAGAGACGTATAGATATAGTTTGTGCATCATAACTACATTTTGATTTATTAGCTGTATGTAAATATACCAAACTCTATGATTCACTAGGGTAATGTTCCTGAGTTACCGTTGTCATAGCAACATAGCTGCTTCTTGTTTTTTGTACAGACATTAAATGTTTGGTCCCTAACTAACTTTCATGGTCTAGTGCAATCTGTTCGGTATTCTTGGGGAAGCCTCTTCTAGGCTGTACAGGTTTGTTGGTTGTGGATTTTTTTTTTTTTTTTTTTTTTTTTTTTTTTTTTTGGGGGGGGGGGGGGGTTGAATCTGATTATGTTAATACCAATCATTAAAGATTATTTACCCCCGGTCACTCAGTCATGAACTTTGCCTTCTAACAAAAAGGTGTTTCAGCCCCCTAGTTTGCCCAGGGACCTCCGGTCCTTCATCAGTTCCAAACCTCCACCCTAGACACATCTGCCAAGTCCAAGCTAAAACCTCAACTCTACAGTTGTTTGACCCTCACTTTGAACTTTAGGCGCTTGTAAACAGCTGTTTCAGCCACCTATCTTGCCAACAGATTTCAGAACTTTTCATCATATTCGAACCTCGGCCAGTCGAAGCCAGAACCTCAAATCCACACTGTTATCTTTAAAATTTTACTTTCTTCGAACAGGTGTTTCAGCCCCCTACTTTGCCGAGGGACTTCCGACCCTTTCATCGTTTTGAGACCTCCTCTGGAGAGACGCCCGACCTTTCCAAGCCAGAACCTCAAACCCACAGTCGATTCACTCTCAGTGCTGACCAGAGAGCTGGCATGCTGGGAGAGGAACAATTACCAGGTACATAATGTAGAAAGGAATCATATTATTGGCTATGATGCTATATCAATTGAAAGTGTCATGCATGGCAACATATCCAAGAAAACCACCCCCCCTCCCCAAGAAAAAAAAAAAAAAATGACAAAAAAAAAAATGATGTATTTCATTGAAATTAGAAGATTTTTGGAAAAGTCCTCTTTGATAGAAAGTGAAGAATAACAAAATTCTTTTCTCATACTTAAAAATTATCATTTTGTGGAAAATTTCACATTGTTCTCCCAAGCAATTCAGAAGAAAAGGCAAGCTATTCTAGTGATCTGCAGCACATCCTGCAGATCACCTCTTGATTTTGTCAGGATCTTTATTCTATTTCTTTATTCTGTACGTTTTTAATGGTAAGATTTCTCAAAAATGCACCGTCCATTTACCAACAATTTTCACTACTAACTCCCCTTGGTCAGGAATAGAAATCCTCTCCCTCTCAGTGTGATCAGTCGACCTTATCGTCTTCTAGGCACCATTTTGTGAAATCACATTATCAATCATATCTTTATAACCAGCCATAAAAAATTAACCAAATGCGCGTCTTGACATGCTCATACACGCGCCTCAAAATTTTGAAATACTCCAGATCACATCTTGTCCAATTTAGGGTACGTTTTAGGCCATTTGGGGCATATGACTATTTTAACGCACAGAGCGCGTACAAGTACGAAATGTAGAAATAAGTTTTTCTTGCATGGATCTACTTATGTAACCTTTATATTGAGTGTCCCATCAGAGATATATTCCTGATTCATTAGTCTCATACCCATATGTCGTATATGTGTTTTTGCATTCTAAATGTTGTGTAGAAAGCCTATGGGAAAAATAAATTCATTTGGAAATTGATATGAAAAATGTCATTCCCCTTTTTTCAACTCATACTTATCTAATACCCCTTTCAAACTGGCCTGATTTTCAGCGGATGCATCTAGACGCATCCGATGAAACGGCCACTATGAACGGCACAGAGGAGAAAAAGCTGATAGAATAGCCGATGAAAAGAAGAGAAATAGGCGATGAAACAGCCACTATGCAGAGAAGGAAAATTCAATCAGTATTTTCATCGTTGTGACTTCGATAGAAGCACTATGAAAGGGGTATAATGCACCATAAAATAAGGGGGTGTGTATTTGGTTTTACAGTCTTGTATCAATCAGATATGATTATTTACGTCTGGGGACCGACCTTTAAATGTCACCATCCGAAAGACGTGACTAAGTTTCGAACCTGCGTCCTCGGCTGAATCAGTTTGTATCTTCCATTGTTAGCTGGATTACAGGCGCACGGCACAACGTTTTTTCCTTACATATTAGTCTTCTTCCCAGATTCCCAATTGTTTATCTAGATATTATGCTCTGAAGTTTGTTAACACTGAGAAAATTCATGTACAATCTGTTGTGCAACCTATTAGGTTCAACTTGCAGGAACTGCTATATGGAACTGTCCTGTTTCTGTGATGCTAGTATCCTTCCCAGACGTTTATTGTTTTATAAACAAATATTGAGTACATATTGTTTACAGAATCTAAAGGAAAATTCTGTCCTCCAAATATGAGGGTGAACTACAGCTCCTCTTTCTGTGAGCGATTGTTGATCGTACGTCAGATGCCGTCCTGTGATCATTTCTTTATCAGTAAAGATCTACTTCAGATCACCTAAATCGTCAGCAGTGACAAATTCAAGTCTATTTTTATGTTGAAATAATCAACAAAAAACAATGTCTTTGTATCTATTAGATTGCTAGCTGCCAAAAGCATGATCATGTGAAAGAAGACTGTGTACATACATTTTGTGGCCACTTCTTTTAGATGCTACAGGCTTTTTACCATAAAGAAAAACTTCAAATGTCCTGATGTATATGTACACTGTCTGTATGTTACTTGCCACCATAGTTCACCATCCAAGAGGCTACTAAAGGTCCATTCCATATGAGAAAAATATGCACAAAATCTTTGGTTCAAACCTATTTCCAGTTGACTATATGAGAGCAAGTTATTGATTTTTTTATTATCTGAAAGTGGTGTTTGTTCTCTGCTGAAATATTGTAGGACCTGCAAGCATTGATGAGCTACTGACCAGTCGGGACCTGGCCCTACTGAAAGATGCCCGGGACAAAGCTTCTACCAGGGTACAGGGTGCTCCGCAGCATCAATCCAGATGGGATAGGGGTGCACCCAGCTGGTCTGCCCCCACCCAAGAGGCTATGCCACAAGGGGGAGGGTCGGGTTTTCAACCGTTTGCTAAGGATGCAGAGAAACAGCACAGGTACGACCAATACTTGCAGAACAGACACAAAGGTAAGGTCCATGAACCTTTTTTTTTTAATACCCAAAGAGCTTTATAAATATTACCCTGGCTTTAACTCTATTATCCTGGCTTTAGCTCCAGCAACTGTTGTCATTGCATAGTGCTTTTCAGGATGTTATCCTACCATTTATAACCACCTCTGGGTTGAGTGTAGCATATTCAATTCAATTCATTTAATTTCCTTTAAAATTCAAAGTAAGCAATACATAAAAAATGAGCAGCAGAATCGGAAGGACTCCAAGATGAGCAAAGCTTGTGAGAATAAATAAACAAGCGAATTATAATAAAATATTGTAAAACTAATCAGAACAAACATACACCAAACCTCATTCATTCACATGCACACGGACACACTGCAAAGCAGAACATTGTACAGAAAAAGCTTGTGATCACATTGTTAGAACCGATGGACAGATTACCATCAAACTCAGGATGTGTATGTACCTTGCTGAGCAAATTAACTGATTAGATTTTGGGGTCATGAGTTCAAAGGTTAACCCTTACTGGACTGGGCTATTTTGAGCACCTCCTGACTGGGGGGGGGGGGGGGGCCTGGGAGGCCCCCCCCTATGATCTCGGCCGTCGGATGTCTGATGAACACGAAAATTTGCAAGTTTGTAGATATTTACGTAACGAACAAGATGGTGTAAATAGTTTTTTGCGAATATGCAAATTTTTGTCGTTATAGCCTAATTAATTATGCAAAATGCTAATTTTATGCATTTTACAGAAAATGTGTCAAACTCCACTTTTTGAATGTTGAAACTCATTATTCATATGAAACTTCTTTTCTAACACACAATATTTATTTTGATGTAATTAATAATGATAATTTATGCAAATTTGATGCGATTTTCAAATATTTATTTTCTTATGTATTTTATTGTTTTTTTATTTCTTATTATATCTATTGTTTTTATTTCTTATGTATTCTTTTGTTCTGGAATACATCAAGTTACTTTGAGAAACATATAAAAGCAATTTGATATCAATTCATATCACCCACTTAGGAAGGAATACATCTAAACCTGTATTCACATTTCTGCTTGTACATGAATATATGCAATTATAGCATATTTTTGATGACATGCGCATACTAATTGTTATGTAACACCTCACAGGTATATCCGATTGCGACGAAAATGGTATCAAAACGTGCGTAAGACTTGAGGGAAAAAAGTCATGAAACGACAATTCAAAATTTCAAGCGGTTGTGGCGCAATCTTCGAAAATGTCGAGGGGGGGGGCCTCCCAGGCCCCCCCCCCAGTACAGTAAGGGTTAAAGGTCAGTGGGCTCATTATGTATGTGAAAATAGCTTGTGTTTGCATAATCATTGGAACCGATGGACGGATTACCATCAAACTCAAAATATGTATGTTTCTTGCAGAGCCAATGAACAGAGTAGATTTTTGGGTCATGAGGTCATGGGGCTCATTGTGTATGCAAAAATATCTTGTAAACAAATTCTCATTATAACTGACAGATGGATTACTATCAAACTCAGAACATGTACAAATGTATGTATCTTGCAGAGCCAATGAACTGATTAGATTTAGGGTCATGAGGATCACAGGGTCACACATGTATATGAAAAATAGCTTGTAATCACAATATTCTGAGAACCTGTTAATGGATTACAATCAAACTTGAATTTGCTTCTGTTTTGGTTTGAAAAATGGCTTTATGGTGGAGGCATCATTTTTGACTGTGTGCAGTCCAAGGTCCATCTAGTTTATTTCATATTCTGATAGATCATGTGTAGGTTTGGTTCATGCTGAAGTGTAGTATGGATTCTGGCAAAACATTGTAAAAATTATTAACATGTGATGAAGACCTAAATTTGTTTGAATGGGATAATAATAATAATAATAATACATAACATTTATTAGGCGCTTAATACTGATGTTTCTAAGCGCACAGTGTTCTGATTAAGAGAAGACTATAACCCGTAGAATTAAATTAGAAGAAAAAGCAAAAATACAAAAGTAACATAGATAAGGTAAGAAAAACAGTGGCAATCAACTAAATAAAGACAAATATGGTGCGCACCTCCATTGACCGACGCACAACTGCAATTTACAATTTGAAAAGATAGGTTTTGAGTAGAGATTTGAATTGAGATACAGAGGGGGCGCAGTGAATAAAGGCGGGCAGTTTGTTCCAGAGAGCGGGGGCAATAACTGAAAAGGCGCGGTCACCATACCGGGTGTTAGTGCGGGGTCCAGGTGTTAACAGTAATGTGGAAGATGAACGAAGTGTTCGTGACGACGTACGGGAACGTAAGGATATGAGATCGGAAAGGTAAGAGGGGGCTAAGCCATTGATAGCTTTGTAGCACAGGAGAAGAATTTTGAAGGATATGCGGTGGTGAATTTTAAGCCAATGTAGTGAGTTCAATATTGGAGTTATGTGCTCTGATTTACGCGAGAGAGTCACAAGCCGAGCAGCGCTATTCTGTACCCTTTGAAGTGGGACTAGATGTGACTGAGGGAGGCCAGAAAGAGAAGAATTACAGTAATCGATATGGGTCGAGACAAAAGCATGGACTAATTTTGAAGTTGTGGGTCGGTCAAGTAGCCTCCTGATTCTACTGATCTTATATATACCAAAGGAAGCAGACTTACAAATATTACTAATGTGTTGTTTGAAAGTAAGATTGCTGTCAATATTTAAACCAAGGTCACGCACAGAAGCACAACAACTGAGAGAGCCATCACTCATAACAAGATCAGGAAAGGGGTCTGAGTTCCGAAATTTAGAAGTAATATGAATCATTTCAGATTTTGAATCATTAAGGCAGAGACAGTTTTGAAAAGACCAGGTTTTGATTTCATTGAGGCAACTGGTGAGTTTGTTCGCGGCTACTGTCCTGCTGTTTGGGTGAAGAGTTACATAAATCTGGGTGTCGTCTGCATACATAGTGTGTTGAATATTCTGATGAAGGTTAATAACATTTGAGAGAGGGCTGGTGTAAAGAATAAACAGGAGGGGGCCGACCACGGAACCCTGAGGAACGCCGCAGATGAGGGGAAATGATTCCGAGTTGGTGTCATTGATGATCACCTTCTGAGTTCGGTGCATGAGATAGGAGCGAATCCATTGAAGTACGGTGCCGGTGATGGAGAAGTCGTTCTCTAAGCGATGGAGTAACAGGTCGTGGTTGATAGTGTCAAATGCGGCAGTGTAATCAAGCAAGATGAGGACAGCTTCATTACCCTTATCTACAGCTAGAAGTAGGTCATTTAGGACCTTGACAGTTGCAGTCTCAGTAGAATGATGATTCCGATAGGCAGATTGGTGGATTGGAAACAAACCGAGATTGTCAATGTGGGCTTTCAGCTGTAGTGACACAATACGTTCCAAAACCTTCCCAAGGAATGGCAGGTTTGCGATGGGCCTGTAGTTCTTAAGTCCATTCGTGTCGAGACTCGGCTTCTTTAGGAGGGGAAGAAGCAGAGAAGTCTTAAAAGACTCTGGAACTATTCCGGATGATAACGAGAGATTGAACAGTTTGGTTATGTGAGGAAGGAGTTCATCGAGGACTTCCTTTAGAAGCCAGGTAGGAATCGGATCTAGCTTACAGTGTTTAGAAGGAAGCGAAATGATGAGCTTCCTGACTTGTGAGAGGGATACAAGGCAGAAATCAGAGAGTTCATGACGAGGGCCTGGAGCAAAAGATCTTGAAGCTGGTGCTGGTGCTACATTAGGGAAAGAGGATACAACTTTGGCGACTTTTTCCCTGAAGAATGTAGCAAATCTGTTGGCGAGTTCACTATCAGAAGAATGATCTGGAAGAGGTGAAGATTGAGTGGGCGTTGAGAGTGTCTTCACAAGACGAAACAGTTCTTTAGTGTCAGCATTCTTGATGAGATCTTTGAGATACGATGACTTCGCATTGAAGATGCACTCATAATATGACTCGCATTCACGGCGGTACAGCTCTCTATCAACAAAAAGTCCAGACTTGATCGAACGACGTTCCGCACGACGCCTTCGCCTCTTGGCTTCCTGGATATCATCGGTAAACCATGGCGCATCAGGTCTGATTGATACAGTCTTGACCTGGATTGGAGCGTGCTCATCAATCAACGTCCGCAAAGATGAGTTATAATGCTCCGCGGAAGCAGATGGACAAGATAGATCAGGTAGTGAATGGAACATTGTGTCAATAGAGTTGCGTAGAGAGTCCTTGTCAATGCTGCGATATTTCCTGAAGGAAACCTCTTTCTTGGGATTCTTCGGCCTTGCGATATTGACAGTGGTGACAAGTGCACAATGGTCGGAAGGCATGGAAGATAGCGAGTTCACGTTGCAGACATCATCCGAATTCCTTGTGAAAATCAAATCTAGAGTGTGACCTGCGCGATGGGTTGGTTCACGAACATGTTGCTTGAACCCTAACGAATCAACACATGTCATAACAGATTTTGCAAAATTATCATTGGGATCATCAACATGTATGTTGAAATCACCCAATAATAGAGGAAAATGATCATCTACAACAGCACCTTCAAGGAGAGTTGGAAATTCATCCAAGAATGTGCCGTTGGAGAGATTATTATTGGCAGACGGGGGTGGTCGATAAATACAATACAACCTTACAGCAGATGAAGGTGTCAGATTGAGTGTGACATCCAGTAATTCAAAAGATGCAAAATCATTGTTGTTGTTCAAGGTACAGCGAGCCGTGGATCTATAGAGAAGCAAAATCCCACCGCCCTTGGAAGATAACCGGGGTCGATGGGTGAAATCATAATTAGGCAAACCAGATCTTAGATCAGCTAATATGAGACCATCCCTCTTACTGTCTCCAGAGAGCCACGACTCGGTGATGACTAGAACATCTAGATCATGTTCAACAATCAAATCAGTAATTGCGTGTGTTTTATTGGTCATGGAACGTGCATTCCAAAGGCCAAGTTTGAGGCTATTGGATGATACCGACATTGGTGGAGGGAAATCCGGCCTTGGTATCGTACGCCGCCCACGTCCGCAGGGAACTTTGGAGCAGCACCCCTTAATTGCCTTTTTTTTCCAATAAGTCCTATGTTCCTGGTGGAAGGGGGCTGGAGCTAGGTCTCTTAGTGTGAGGCCTTAACTTTCTTTGGCTCAGGTGAGCGTAAGGTCTGTGGATCTCTTTTTTCAGATTTTCTCTGCTTATATCCTCTTGTATTTTAGGGTCAGAGATGGCAGCAGTAGACTCCAGGACAGAGTGGGAGAAACAGCAGGAGATAGAGGAGTTCTCAAGGGCTGCGTCCCTCTACCACAAGCCCATGTCAGGTCTCATGGCGTCCAGGTTTGTTCGAGCCAAGCATACTGATGATGCAGATGACACACAGGAAGCTCCTGCAGAGACAGAGGTAAGGAGGCTTGTTTGTGTACAATATAATATTTTTACCCAGGAAAGCCTCTTCAGCATAAGTGCAGTTCTTTTTGATGGATCTGCAATTATCATTACCTTTAGCTATTGCTAGGTACCATTTACACCTGGGTGGAGAGTGGCAAATGCGGATTAATGTCTTTCCAGAGGACATTGGTGCCAGGATGGGGTTCGAACCCTCAATCGTAGGATTGAGAGTAGACTGAATGAACCACTATAACATGACACCTCTACACGATGGAGTCCTCTAGAGCCACATACCTCTACCACAAGCCCATTTCGGGCCTTGTGGCATCTTATAGGCATTTGTGCCATTTAAATCATTCATTTTGATCTAGTAGCATCTCCTTTACTCTTTGTAAACCAGCTTTGGTTGACTAATTGAACAAACAGGATTGCCATAGTCAACTTTTGTCACACTTACAGTGTTTGTGTGTGGTGAATAAAGAAGTAAGCACTGACCTCTTTGAGGTGTACTTAGTCTAACAAAGCCTGGATAAAACCCATTTAAAATGTACTTTCTATATTATATTATATTCACATTGTGTTACAATTATCTTATACCCCCTCAATATAATATAGATATTGCATTCTCAATATAACAAATTATTAACCGTATCAGACATCTGGCAATTTTTAAATGTTATTGCCCTCAAGGTTTGATGGATAAGCCAACAAAACTACAGGCGAAAAAATATTATTGCCCGATCTGAAAATTCATTGGGATTTTGTGTGTAATTTGCTGGTCAATACGGTTATACAGTAAACCAGGGAACAAATATTATTGCCCAATCTGAAAAGTCAATGCAAAATGCGTGTTAAACTAGTGAGCAATAATATAGAGCCAGTTGTAATTTACATCGCGCATCAGCTACTGTAATTTACATCCCGCATCGCGTATAAGAAAATGCGAACTTTGTGCGAACTCTATTGTGACGTAACAATCACACCCTAGGCACACTGTTTGTAGTGTATCGAAAATTTGTCAAAATCTGGATGCACAGTGCTGGTTTGACGATGTTTTTGCAACTTCTAATGTTAGGAAACCCTGTGCAGTGTAGGCTACATAATTTAAGAGTATAAGATAGTATGAGTTTCTTGTTTGCTCTAGATGTCTGATGTGGTTAATAATAGTAATATTGACTGCCCAATTCAAGGCAATACGACTTGTCATATATCACCCTCACCTTCGGTTCAGGCGATATATGTTGTATTGCCCAGAAGGCAGTCAATATTACTTAAATATATGAACAAAATTTAATGGCACAAGGGAAATACTTAATTTTGAGGTAAATATTTGTTATATTGAACAATGATATGCATGCAACTTGTGATATGAAATGGAAGATGTTTATTATCTCATGCCTTCCTTCTTTAGATTGAGGTCCCTTTTTGTTACATTCCTGTTACCTTAACATAAAGTGTTAACACATTGGACACGAAAGGGTTGTTCAGGCAAGCATGGATTTGGATTATGATACTATGGATTCATCATTTTGTTTGCATTTTACAGAGGAAAAAATGGTTGTTAAAATGCATGTTCATCCACAGATATAGGTATATCAATTATTGAGTGTCATATGACACCTTTTCGGCAAGTAGGATACTCGCTGAAAAATATTCTGTTTCAGATCGACATACAATTTTATTGTTACTCCCTATTATATTTTGGACTGATTTTTCAGCATATACCGGTGTGTTTGCTCAGTCAGTAGAGCGTCCGCCTCACAACCGGGAGGCTGTGGGTTCAAACCCCAGCCGCGTCATACCAAAAGACGTTAAAAGACGGTTGCTGCTACCTTGTTTGGCGTTCAACAATAAGGGATAGAGCAACGTCGATCTGGCGCTGCTCAGTGGCTGCCGGGCTCACGATCAATTGGGCAACAAGAATTTACATTTTCGGTTTAACTTAATAAAATTTGCAGTGGGCTTTAAAAGATTATTATTATTATTATTTATTATTATTATATTCAAAATATTGGATGCATGTCATGTGTGTCATACAGTCAAGCAGTTCTAGTTAATAGAGTTCTTTATTTTGTTGCCAGAGGGATGTGAATGATCAGTGCAAGGCTGCCGAGATGAAGATGTTTGGTCAGCTGACCAGAGACACCATGGAATGGCACCCAGATAAGCTGCTCTGTAAACGCTTCAATGTAGCTGATCCTTATCCTGAGTGAGTTTTGAACATTGAACCATAAACCTGCTGATTGTTACAGGGTCCTTAGAAGGAATGGGGTGCTACACATTTACATTGCTCGACATCAATCCCCCCCCCTCCCCCCCCCCAAAAAAAAAAGATGACAAGAAAACAGCATCAAAGATACGATGCAACACAACACATTAATGCAAATTACAACAAAAGCAAAATAAAACAAACAATTAGCAGTTATCAAACAAACAAACAAAAATGAATAAAGGGTTCATTCGCTTGTTAAATGACCAACGGACAAACAACATTCTTTTTGGGTATTCTAAAGTTAAGCCCATCATTTTTTAAAGTTTCGAGTAGGGCGTTCTGTTGTTTCAATCTGGTTGACAATGATTTAGAGTATCTTTCTCTTGTTTTCGTTGCTACTGTTACCAAAAATTGAGGAACCTAGAAAAACCTCTTGGACACCTACATACATACTTTGTGCATGCATAATATTAGAGTTCAGTTATGTAAATACGTGTACCGTGTGCATGCTGCCTTACACCAAAAGTATGCTAGTCCCAAACGTGGCACAAAAGAACTTCCAAAAGGCTCAATACAGAAATGTTAGGCATATTTAGCAATAACAAGAATTAGGACCTGGGCCGGTATTCAATTCAATACTTAAATACAAATTTAAGCTTTTAACTTAGTATTTGGCTGAGATAAAATACTTAGCCAATTATGGTATTCAATTTACACTTTTGGCTAAGTATTTTACTCTAAATCTAAGCCAACCCTATACCAGACCTAAGCTAATTCTCGCTACCCCAAATAGCGATTCTGCTGAGATCCGGGGAAAATCCTGAAAACGCGCATTGCATTATGGGATAGCTTTTCGACATTACAGCTTCCTATGCAGGCGCTATATTACTAGGCGCGATAGCGCAAACGTAAAACGCCGTCGCCACACAACGTGTATGCACCGAATATGTCGTCTGCTCGGTCTTGTTTTTTTTTTGCAAATATTTCAACGTTTATTTGAACATTTCATTCGTTGTTTCTTGCGTCTTTTGACATCAGTGACGATGGTTTTCTTTTGTGAGGCTGCACAGTGCTGGGCTCATGATTCCAAGCGTAAGAACCCTGATTTTAGCGTGCGTGAAAACTCTGCACAGCGAACACAGGCGCTAGCGCCAGCGGGATGGGACTCTATACCGGAAGTTGTAGTGACGACCCGAGAGAGTGAAAATTACCTCGTCTCGCGAATTTCGAGATTTTCGTACCTATTTAGGGTAGCGAGAATTATTTGGAGGCCTTGATTGGCAGGCATATGGTTTTCTTACCCACAATTATAACTCACACACAATTATATAAGCACGCATTTATTGCAATGCATCAATTGCGCATTACTTAGATTTTGTCTTACGTAAGTATAAGTCTAAAATGCAATTTGAATACGAGATAAGTAAATTACTTAACTTAGCCATTTACTTAGGAAATTTCTTACTTATGCTAAGTATTGAATTGAATACTGGCCCTGGTAATTACTGATATTTTTTTCTTCTCCTTGTAATACATGCACTTGTAATTATAATTATAATTATGATGCAGCTCCAATTCTCTCTTTTTTAAAAATATTTTTTCTATTTGCTGTTAAGAAAACTATAGAATTTGCTGCTTTTAAAAGAATAAGGATAGCAAACAACATAACTGAGAGAAGTCTTTACAGAGATCACATGACTGTGAACAGCCAAAGACCTAAGCCGTATGTTGCTAGGGGCCGGGCTTAGCAAAAAGCTTTCTAACTCTCCGCAAGCATCACAAACATAAAATTCTCGCATAAAAACTGTTTTTTCAACCCTTTCCCGTTTTCTAAGGCTACCTTGCCCACCTCATTGACACATATTTCTTCCATTCATCCTTGTGCTAACAGCCAACTTGGAGAGCACAGTAGGAACCATATTACAAAACTGTCTTGCATATTAAAAGCTATATGATTCTTTTTGTATATGAAAACCCTTACCTCCAATATATCTTCTCAACTTTATACTGTAAAAAAATACATTTACATTAGGTATTTATAGGCTAATGTGGACACCAGCATGGATTTCCAGGTTTTCTGGTGGTTATAACACATTTAGACAGTCTCAATGACCCCCAAAACCTCGGTATAGACACCAAAATTACATCTCTATTAAAGGTAGATATATCCCGATTAATATCCTGACCTCTAAAATATTTTTAAAATCTTATTCTTGGGAATTATAGCTGTACCGTAAATAGGAGGTCACTTCCGATTATTTTTTAGGACACTTGTGACAATTTTGGACACCATGTTGGATTTCCAAGTTTCCTGGTGGCTATAACCCATTATAAGAAGTATGAATGAATTCCTTGACCCCCCAAAAACCTAGTTACATGTATAGACACCAAAATCATATCTCTAAGATGGATAAATTTTGATTTATGACTATTTTAAGGTTTTGAAGGCCATCTTTGATGCCATTTTCAAAATAAATCTTTTTCTTGGGGTTCTTTTCTTTTCTTTTTATGCCTCCGCCACCGAAGGTGGTGCCGGAGGCATCATGTTTTCGGGTTGTCCGTCCGTATGTCCGTCCCGTTTGACCGTTATCACAATATCTCAAGAACCATTTAAGATTTAAACTTAAGACTCGGGAATAGTATTTATCACTATAGGAAGACGATCTGATTAGATTTTGGAGTACGTAGGTCAAAGGTCACAGGTCACAGAGGTCAACTTATGAAATTCCTTGTATTGAGTTTGTTAGCGCGATATCTCAAGAACCATTTGAGATTTAAACTTCAAACTTAAGGATAGTATGTATCACCATAGGAAGACGATCTGATTAGATTTTGGAGCACGTATGTCAAAGGTCAAGGGTCACAGAGGTCAACTTATGAAATTCCATACATTGAGATTGTTATCATGATATCTCAAGAACTACTGGAGATTTAAACTTCAAACTTAGTGATAGTGTGTATCACTATAGGAAAACAATCTGATTACATTTTGGAGCACGTAGGTCAAAGGTCAAGGGTCATAGAGGTCAACTTATGAAATTCCATACATTGAGATTGTTATCATGATATCTCAAGAACCACTGGAGATGTAAAAACTTCAAACTTAAGGATAGTATGTATCACCATAGGAAGATGATCTGATTAGATTTTGGAGCACGTAGGTCAAAGGTCAAGGGTCACAGAGGTCAACTTATGAAATTCCATACATTGAGATTGTTATCATAATATCTCAAGAACCACTGGAGATTTAAACTTCAAACTTAATGATAGTGTGTATCACCATAGGAAGACAATCTGATTAGATTTTGGAGCACGTAGGTCAAAGGTCAAGGGTCACAGAGGTCAACTTATGAAATTCCATACATTGAGATCGTTATCGCGATATCTCAAGAACCACTGGAGAATTTTCACTTCAAACTTAATGATAGTAGGTATCACCATATCATAATATCTCAAGAACCACTGGAGATTTAAACTTCAAACTTAATGATAGTGTGTATCACCATAGGAAGACAATCTGATTAGATTTTGGAGCACGTAGGTCAAAGGTCAAGGGTCACAGAGGTCAACTTATGAAATTCCATACATTGTGATTGTTATTATGATATCTCAAGAACCACTGGAGATTTAAACTCCAAACTTGTTTAAATTGCTCTATGGCGGAGGCATCATTTTCGACTGCGTGCAGTCAAAATTCCATCTAGTTAGTATGTTGTTCCTGATCTCACAAACTACCGGAAACCATTGAAAAAAGTTTTGTTGCCATTTTTTAGTGTCAAACCCTATATTGACTTGACGTTATATGGTATAGATGGGTATATATATATATGTAAATAGAGAGAGAGAGAGAGAGATAGCAAGAGATAGCAAGAGAGATAGCGAGAGAGAGCGAGTGAGAAGAAAGAAAAAAAGTGGCAAAAAATGAAGAGAGAGGAAGAGAGAAGGAGAAGGAGGGAGGGAGGGAGAAAAGAGAGGGAAAAGAGAGGGAAAAAGAGAGAGAGAGAGAGAGAGGGGGGGGGGGGGGGGGGAGAAGTCACTAGAAATGTCAGAGGCTGCATAGCCCAATTAAGTAGTCAAAGAATAAGAAGAAGGAGATGGAGATGGAGAAGGCGAAAGCGAAAGCGAAGAATGGATCACACCTGTTCAGTCAATCAGAGAAGAGAATTGTGGCAAGTAACAAAAATTGTCAGCATGCATTGAATGTTTATTGTGACATTCTAGTGGTTTTTTTTTTATTGTTGCTATAGTTGGCAAACCATTGTTGAGACCCCATTTACATTGTGACCAAGGCTCAAAATACACGGGGGCGGTGGGCGATTGGCCCCCGTGAGCTACACAATCGCCCCTGTCAGAGTGCTCACCGGGGTGGTGGCAAAATTAAAAATCGCCCCCGTGGAAGTATAAAATAAAGATTATCTTTTCCGTTATAACTTTCACACAATATTGAGTTTCAACTTTAAAAATGGAATTATGGAAGTTATATTTTAATAGCGTGCACTCCGTGCAGGATTTCTCGCTCGAATTTTTTGGTGTTTAGAGGCTGCCATATAAAGAAATAAACGCTTTTTCGCCACAAGATTGCGCTATATCTCCCATCTCCACATCTCTATGGGTATTACGGATACAAACAACGGAAGCTCGCAGTGACTTGCGGCAGTCAGCAGTGGCTAAACTAGCTGCACGGTAGTATACTGGTGTGCACGCTGCCGCCCCATATCTGCTGGTGCTAGAGGCGATCGCGCAAGGACCGAAACGTGGAGAAGTTTTTTTTTCGTTGTAAAAATCATGAATCCTCTGATATCTGGTGATTCCAAAAGACCAGCAAATAATGAACCTCCACCAGTAAATCAACAGAAAGCTAAATTTTTTAAAAGGAAACCTGTTGGCAAGGAGGCAAATGTATACGGGCTTGGACCAGAAATTTTGTACAGAGGGAGATCTGACCATTATCTGCATGTTATAACTTGTAAAGTTAAGAGGGAAATAATGCCGACTAT